CTGCTGTTGCAGCACAGGCAAACTTGGATGCAACCAAGCTGTGACTGCATCAAGACAATCATCACTGAAAGATTAGCTAAGAATTTTTTATTATTAAGAAAAAACTGTTTTCAAGTGTTAAAAGGCTCTGAGCATCTTTAAGAAACAATGCGTGTATCACTTGGAGGAGAAAGCTGTCGAGTGGAAAGCTCAGCTTTAAACCCCTTTTGTCTCCACACAAAAGCACATTCCTAAGAAACAGAAAAAGACCTCTGTTTCTTCTGCAGTAGTGCTTTCTGCCTAATTTGGTGTGTTCTAGGAGCAGAAGAGCATGCGTTGCAGGGTGTAAGTACGCAGGGCAGCCATTGCTTGCTTCTGTCTGGAGCAGGGGTGCAAGCATCCTTTAAGGCCTTCAAGGCAGCATAATGGGATGGCATGGGAGGAGGATGGATATTGGGAAAGAAATCTTCTCTGAGAGAGTGATTGGGCACGGGCACAGGCTGCTCAGGTAGTGGTGGAGTCACTGAGTCACCGTCCCTGGAGGTGTTACAGAAATGCGTAGATGTGGTACTTAGGGACATGGGTTAGCAGCAATATTGGTGGTAGGTGGATGGTTGGACTAGATGATCCTCGAGGGCTTTTCCAACCTTAATGATTCTATGATGAGGTGTTGCAATTCAGGACTGCCCAACAGCCCTTCCAGCAGAGCGCCCTCACCTGCAGCTCCGCAGCTCATGCACTGCTTGCTTGTTATAAAATTGAAAAGAACTATTAGCTAACTACCTGGAAAACTAATTAACCTCTTGTAGCACTAATCCTGGATTTACTGTTAATCTTACTGAAGGACTCCTTCTGTCAGGGTTTGTCCCAGAGCTTAGCACTGGGAGCAGGGGGAGCTGGAAGCGTTCGGCACCTTTGAAATGGAGACCGCATGCGGGCAGCCCGCATTAGCGGTGGCTGGAGAGTAATCCCCTGGCACATTAGCTCATGGATGTGTGTGTTGGCAGAGATCACGTCTGTGAATCATGCTGAGCCGCTGAGGTCACCACAAAACCCACTTTCTGTAAAATCACACCGGCTTTTTGTAAATCCATGTTTATTTCCTGCTTTCAGGCACTTTTGTATGTATTGATCTGATCAATGTGAGTAACTTTTTTGACAAACAGGCTCCTTTAAATGCCTTAAAAGCTTCATTATTAAGATAATGGAACTGAAGTTAAAAACAAATCAAACAATACACGTGTAAAAGGTTTCCCCCAGACAGCTTGAAAATAAATTGAAAACAAATTCAATTAAAATAACAATCAACCTTTTTGTTCCTTCAGTGGTATGATTTCTCTGAGGCAGGCACACAATGATAAGAGGTTTCTTTGAAATGCTTGGGATAGCGCACCCATAGGCAGAGCTAGGAGAGATCAAAGCAGTATTTTTCCTAAAGAACAGCCTGCTACTATTAAGTTACTACATTAAGGTCTGAAACGTTTATTTTTTTTCCCCCTTTTGTGGAATTTTTTTATTATTTTTTTTTTTTTTGGCTTTGTTTTTTTGGTTTATTTATTTATATTGGTCCCAGATCCTTTTGCATCTGTTCCTGCTCTTTCCTCTTGCCTTTCACCTTTCTAAACTGGGTCCTAAAATCTTGACCCAAAGGAAATGTCTATTAAAATATATTTTGGGGAGTATTGCTTTCTCCCTGGTCTCTGTAATCAATAGTTTTCTATGGTACTGGGGCACTGAAACATGCTTTCAGGTCCTCCCACGGTCCCCCTGAGAACATTTTGCTGCTATAAGTACAACTACAGGTGGGTGGAGGATTAGGTTCTCCATTATTTGGCATCGTGCTTGTGGCCCCACATCTGCAGCAGAGGTAAAAGTAATGAAGGCAACTCCTGATGGGCTGTTTGCAAATGATTGTGCTGTATTGGCTCACAGTGATAAAGACATCCAGTTACTTACTGATTGCTTTCAGTGTGCTACAAAGCACCTCAACCTTGCAGCGCTCTGAAAAAGGCATATTTTCTGTTTCAGCCAAGATCTTGTACTGCAGGAACCATCTCCGTGTTATCCATTGATTAGGGGCCTCTCAGGACTGCCTGTGCATGGGCTCTTGTGAAATAGGAGCCTCTCAGGCTAGCGATGCTCTGGATAGATTACAGCCCTATCTACAGACAGCATGTGGTGGTGTTTGCAAAAAGACTTGCTGCTTTGTTCAGAGTTCTTGCTGCACATTTTCTCGATGGCTGCTCTTCTGTGCTAAAGCACCTTTTATTCCCTGAGGAAGTTGATGAGCTTTCTGTGTGAAGATCCACTGAAATAAGATATGAACTACTTCCCTGTCATCTGCTGTGTGGTTGAATGTGATGTTCCTGGACCTTTAGTTGGAATTGTTTTGGATTGCTGCTCGACAACACTTGAATGTTTGGCTACGTCTTGCTTGGTTTGAAAGGATGCTGTCACACAAGTGTGTTGCTGGTCAAAGGAAGAGTTTGTCTAATTCTGAATGTGAAGTGTATCCTTGTTATTCTCGGCATTGTCGCTTCCACACTCACAGACGGTCTTTTGAGTCATCAGAATTGATTTTCATGCCCCACTAATTACTGCTATGCCTGTTCCTTGGAAACCATGGGTAGCAAAGGCGTTCATGGGCATTGAACTAGTACAGTTTATTCTGAGATGAGTTAATATCTTACTTGAATCATATTTGATGTTAAGTAGCTGGAGAGTTCTTTGAAGGTTTCTTGCTGCTTTGGAAAGTGATTAGCTTACAGTTGCCTTTCTGTAGTTCTTCTGTTTGCTTTTCTCTTCATTACATAGTTCAGACAAACTGCAAATCAGCTGGCATCATCTGCTGTTATACAGGCCCTGTGTGTTACTGGTTTCATTAATGACTCCCAGTAACATGGTGTTTTTAAGATAAGTTTATGAAGATGTTTCCTCTCTGTCAACTCTTGTCAGTAGATCTGCCAGAATATAAACAAGAAATTGGACCAGTTAGAGATTAGAGCTATGCTTGAATACATCGAGGAAGAGTCTGAATAATACACTGGCAGGAAAAAAAAAATAATGTTGTATTCTTCTGCAAAAGCAGCCACATCTGCCACATAGTCTGAGCTGGGAGTATGTGGTTACCAGAGCAAGTTCTGCTAATGGGGAGGTCTGGGGAATTAAATTGATGGTGTTGGACAAGAATACAGTGGGGATATCATGTGAGCTAAATAGGTGATCTTAACATATTTCACTGCAGCAAGTCAAACAGAAACACAATTCTTGGATTTATTTATCTTTTAAACAAGCATGACTTTTAGTATGACTTTATTTACAGGCTTTTTTTGGACACTGTGCTACTTTCATCATTTATCAGGCCTTGCTTTTTTTAAGCATTTGGATTGTAAGTTTATATGGAATTGAAATGAAGCTACAGGTTTTCAGCACGTATGATTAGGAGAGAAACTGAAGCAAGCCAGCTCTTAACAAGTTCTCCCTGGATAACCCAAATCTTTGGCCAAATTTGAAAGCTGAACTTGAATCTAAATTTTACAAATAGCCTTCACCTTTTCAAGTGGCTGAACCAATGTTTCAGGCCGTGGAAGCACTGGCTTTGAATGTTACAGCTCGACCCCATCTATGGCAATATAAAGGAATCTGTTTATCTCTCCACAGAGTGCAGTCATTCCTCAGTGAAATGGCTGGAAGCCCCTCTTAGCAGCAGAAAGTATAATTTTAGGTAGGAAAGCAAATGATTTTGCAGCCTGCTCTGAAAGTAATTAACAAAAACAGGGTGTAAACACTGGCTTCTGTGCTCTCTGAAGTAAACAAAATAAGAATTTATGCTACTGACCTTGTTAAGTAACTAACATTTTCCCTCCTCTGCAATAGCTTTTGCTTTCTCCCTCAGTTCAAAAGCCCCCTGAGCCCAGGGCTGCATGCTACACTGAAATGTTCAATCCTGCATTTGAATAAGCTGAATCAAGCCAGCCATACTGCTAAACATATGGTAAGTAATAGCATCATTAACAATAGCATAGTGCACGTTTGACAGCCGAAGGGATTTGGCTGCGGTTTGCTGCGGGAGTGGCAGCAGAGGAGCAGAGCTTGTGCCCCTGCCAGGATGCCAGCCTCCCTCCACCCCTGCTCTGACCTTCTGGAAATCTGAAAGGCTGCCCATCTTCCTGCCTCCTCTTCAGGCTCTTATCTTCTGCTGGCAGCTCCAGGGCTGGGTAGCACCAGTTGTGTTTCACCGTTAAAAGCTGCGATTTGTTCTCCTTGGGGTGAGTTCATGGTGGAGAGGAGAGAGACCCAAAGCCAGGAGATCAGCAGACCAGGGGGATACACTTCAGTTTTGAATTTGTTCTGAGGAAAGCACACTACTCTGTTTCTATGCTCCCTGGCCTATCCCAAAGGCACAAGGGCTGTGGTCGCTGCCCAGTGCTGGGGAGAGGCACCGTGTCCTGCCCATCCTCTGTGTGTGTGCTCCCAGTCCTTAGGGTGCCTTGGCCCCAAGTGCATCATTCTTCAGTACGGGGTCACAGCTGTCTGACTTCTTGCTGTTCCCATTGCAGTCACGAACACCTTGTGACTCATTGCCCTTCTGCCCCTGCTGCCCTTCTTTCCTTGCAGTCTCGATCTCTGCTTCCCCTGCAAGCTGTCCTTCCCCCATTCTCCTTATCAGATCTGAAATCCATCAACCTGCTGTTGGATGAAACTTCTCCCACATTGATAGCCAGTTTTGTACATTATTTTTGACTTTTGCCCATGGAAACAGCAGAGATGGCTGCTGATCAAGGAGTCACTCCATCAATATAATGCTCAATGCTAGGGAGAAGTGTTAATATTGCTGCTTTACTTTGCATCCTGGATGCATAGAGTTCACTTAATCACTTTGGGTTTGAAAGCATCCGTGAGCATTAAGGTTAAGGAATCAAGTCCCACTGTTCAGGTATTGTTCTCAGCCTCTGCTAGTCAGTGGGCTAAAAAAAAAAAACATCTCCATAAATGATTTTTTTTCTTTATTTTCAGCATGGAGACTTCCTACATAAATAAATGTTGCCCTGAAGCACTTGTAGTCCAGTTGTTACTGCTTTGTGCTAGTGGTGAAGGATCCCAAAGAGAATGGAATATAAGGTAATGATATCCTAAAATGAAAACAAAGCCAGGAAGTGAGTTTCTGTATTTCTTACTGGCTGAGCTCATAGAAATGCAGGAATAAAACAGAGCATCAGAAACAGGGAATGAAATGCAAGTGCTTTTTTTTTTTAAATAATTTGAATCATTGAGTATGCTCTGAAAAAACACTTGAGGCAATGACTATTTTTCTTAAGTAGGAAATTTTAAAGACATTATTCTGATGCAAAGCCATGTAATGTTGCTAGAGAAAGACACCACTTCAGTGATCTCACCTGTGCTTTTTTTAAAGGGATGTGTCTGGGGGGCAGAGGTGCTCCTGGCCTGTTTTGCAAAGATCAAAAGCTGACAAGCTATATGGTTTTGGCTGTGCCTTCAGTTTGGTATTTTTTCTATGTAATCTGCCATGTAGGTATCTGAGAGGCTAGAAGAGAGAGCAATGGAAGAGAGTCATTAGTAAGGAAACTGTTCAGTGCTGTGAGCTGAAAATAAGGAAAAGATTTATCTGCAAACAGGGAACGGTGTTTTAACCAAAAGGGATGGTTGGAAAATGTGTTGTTAGAGGGGGGGGGCTGCGATTTGTACCTGCAGTGTGGGCTGTACATCTGGAGCAGCAGTGGAGGGGTGTGCATTTGCATGGAGCCTTGCATACGAGTTGGGGATGACAGCGTGCTATGGACATTTGGGTACTTCTATTTATGAGGCCATGGTTTGTGTCCCAGTGCGTGCTAGAAGGACAGCATGTGTTCAGCCAGCGTGCATTTGCCTGACTTTACAGATTTAATGCTGTAACGTCAGCCATCAGTCTGCCTCTAATGTATGGCTCTCGGTGAATATCCCAGCCCTGTCCGTCGTGTGGGAGCCCAGCAGATGGAGCAGTGTTCCTGTGCATGAGGAGGTGTGGGGCCGCATCCAGAGCTGCGCTGTGCAGTCGAGCCGATCTGCCCCAGTGCATCTATGAAGCACGGAATAAAAGGTTCGCTATAAGAAATATATGTGAGATTGCCACTCTCTGTGTGCGCGGTGTTGTGTGATATATATGTAAGATTAGTGGAATGGTTTATGTAGAAATATATCAGCTTTTCTAAACTTTGTATGCTCTGCTGTAGATTGTTTTTATCTGAGCCCTAATTTACAGCTAAAACTCAGACAAGGGCATATGAAAGTAATCTTTTTGATCACATTGCTATTTTATGATAACGATATGCTTTATTATTTTTAATAAAACAGTGATAGCTGCTGTTTGCTGTGTTCCCACAGCAGCAGCCATGAGCAGTGGCACAAACAAGAACAGAAAATCCTTCTCCATCTCTTTTTCTTTTTTTCTTCTTAATAAATAATTGAAGGAGAAAACAAGAAAAATATGGTGTAGGATCTAAACAATAAACAAAAACCAGGGTCAGAGCACAGGGCACATGCTTTCTTCTCCTTTAAACCTGACTACTCATATTTTTTTTTTCTTGCTGTGACAGAGAAATGTACTCAACTCTTTTTGTACTGAATTGTATCTCAGAAAAACATTTTTATATATGGAGGGCTGAGTGGTGTCACATTTTTAATGGCACATTTTCATCTGCTTTTCAGTGATGGAACTGAGCTCTGCTGCTGTGCAAGCACAGCCCGGCCAGGTTACGTGCTGAGGGCTCTGCCTGCCCTTAACTACCTGCCGTGAGTCTCAGCTGGTGCACTCAGGTAAGTCTGCAATAAAGGGGGTCAGTGCCTGGCACCTTAAAGCTAATGAGAATTAAGCCACTTCATAGGTTTTCTCATCTCTTTCATAATCAATGGAGCGACTACACCATCTCCACTCTGCCTACAGACATTGTGCTGGTGTCCATGCATCTCTGCTCTCTTCTCAAACTTACTTATTCCACCATACGTCCCTTGGGCATTTAATCTCTCCCTGTGAGGCCACACTGCTGTGAGATCCCTCCATAGCATCTTGCAGTCCATCAGTCTGTCTCTGTGGCCAGGGCACCCAGTGTTCAGTGATAACGCAGCATTTCAAACACTGTAAAGTATTCGACTGCAAAGCAGACCTAACAGGAATGTAAATAGCTTCCTCTGAACATGGGTATTTTGCATCACTGAGGAATGTCTTTTTGGCAAGCTTCCCTCTTTTCAAGAGGGCTAAATTTGGCTACTGTTCAGCCATCCTACCTAGTTACATGAGATAAGCAATAGAAGTGAACTGGGGGTTGCTGTGTTAACCACCCTGTATTTTATTCACCATGTGTCTGTATTTTCTAGAGTTGTGCCTGTAGCAGGAATAGTAGCCTCTATCTCATTGTTTTAGCTCCTTTTAAAAAAAACTAATGGGAATGGCTAAAAAGTGCTAGCTAACAAATAGATTTAAACTTCAGCTTGACCTCCTTAGCCAAGCAAAACGAAAAACCGAGAAGGGATTAATTTGCTTCCTATGACCACATCTGTGAGGAAGAGCTGAGGATAATGATAGCAAGACAACGAAGGGGGATAGATTTGTCATGAATTAATTTAGGATGCTGAAAGCTTCCTTATGTCTGGTCAGGGGAGTTCTGGGACATCACCTTGGTGGGAGCAGTCGGGCAAAACAACACAGCTGTCTTTTCAGCAGAGTATCCTCAGGGCATGAGAGAGATTAGGATGAGTCCTGTGGGGCCTGGACGCTGCCAAGGGAGCTCTTCACAGCCCTTGCTTACTCCTGCATTAAGGCCATTTAATGCCCTAGTTAGAATAACTCCAAGGTACAGAAGTATGCTTGCTTAAGACTGACTTCTGAGTCTTGCAGTTGTAGTACTCAAAATAATTTTTACCAAGGGCTCTGGTTTATGTTGGGTACAGAGAAGGAACTTAAAGTATGGAGTTCTGAGGATTACGTGTGTATTTTCTGTGAGAGGTGATTCAGTTTTAGCATTGGTTCTTTCTAAGAGAATCTTTCTTGGATGTTTAACCTTGGGCCATGTATGGAAGCCATCATACATTGTTCAGAGAAACTGCTCTGTGTTCTGTGCTGGGGTTTGGTGCTGAGATGGAAATGGCACTTCTTGCTGATCCCTCACTGCTAGCAGGTATTGCTGTGATCCCCTGGGATGGATCATTGCTGCCCACAGAGCCGTGGTGGCACTTCCCAGGCAGGAGGGCTGCTGTAAGCCAGGCACTGCAGCGATTCAGCACGCACTGCAGCAGTGTATTCCAGCTTTGTACTGCCAGGATGGGGGTCCAATCTATCTGATCCATCTGTTGTCAAATTAATGTCCAAGCTGGCTTTTGGATTCAGGTCTTTCACAGGGAACAGTGTGAGTGACAGCTAGGGGAAAGAACAGAGAGATGTGAATGTCCTGTGCTATAACTCTTGAAGACTGAAGTAGTTGGTATTCATGGTTCAGCTCAGCTTTGGCACAGCTCTCTGAAATCATAAGTTACACAGAAGAAGAACCATGTGTGCTCAGATACCCTAGATCTTTTTTTATTGTTATTGTACTAACTCTTCATTTCTAAGTAGCTACGTGCCAGATGCATGACATTTCCCATCTTGCTTACAACAGAATTTTAAATTATGAAAACACTTCTTTCCTGAACTTTGCTGAAAGGACGTTGAAAGCTCCATGATCATTTTGCGTCTCCCAGAGAGGTAGTCCATAAACTCCCAGCACTTTGCAAATACCACAAGATCATATTTTACTAGATTATGAAGTTTGTGCACTTCACATTAGTAGTACTAATACCTCAGAGGAACAAAAGAACATTTTTAGCATTTCATTTGCATAATGGCTGAAGTGAGAATTTGTTCCTTGTTGAATAGGTACCCTGGGGGTCCTTTGATTTGCTGTAGCACTCTGTGCAGCATGGAAATAACACAGAAGTTAGTAGCACCAATGGAGCTTAGGTACTTTCCGGCTTGTTGATGTCTTACTACTCAAACTCCATTAACTTGCCACCTGCAGACTTGGTAGCTTCATGTATTTGTTTATAGCAATGCTGATTAGCCGACCGTTAAACACAGTGAAACCTGTGATTTCAAGTAAGTGTCATCCGAAAGGCAGATTTAAGTTGCACCAGGGGAGGTTCAGGTTGGACATTAGGAACAATTTCTCCTCAAAAAGAGCAGTGATGCACTGGCACAGGCTGTCCAGGAAAGGGGATGGAGACACCATCCCTGCAGGTGTTCAAGAAAAGAGTAGATGTGGCACTGAGTGACATGGTTTAGTGGGCATGGTGGGGATGGGTTGGACTTGATGAACTTAGTGCTCTTTCTAACCTTAATGATTCTATGATCTCAACTTAAATAAAAATACTTATTTGCTATATCTGAGGATGTACACACAAAGATTTGTACAAAGGTCAGTTCTTAGTGACAGCATAAGGGAAGGCTGTAGACAGCAGCGTGTTTGGGAGAATGGTGCTGAGAAACCTGGGGCACCCTGCCATTACCTGGTGTGGTTTACCCACGTTCAAATGGGCAGGCAGAGCTGGTGCCTATGCTGTGCGTGGCCCCACCTAAAGATCGTGACTCTGATGGACAGTGAGCAGGAGAAAAGTCTTACGGAGGAGATGCAGAGAACCAGGGAACTGGAGGGAGTTTCTGCATCACGCAAGGCGGCACAGTATGTGAGCGAGTCCTCCAGCCAGAAGCTGTTTAGCACAACAGCTGTCAGTGCAGGATCCCAGTGAGGCTGATGCTGACAGCCCGGCCCTGCCCTCAGCTATCACATACCCTCCAGGCTTATCCATTGTGGCAGAGCTTTCCCTGCAAGTGAGAATCGGAAAGCATTTGCTTGGTGCAGTAGAGTGACCACAGGCTATCCTTGTCCTAAAACATGTGTTGACAACTGCTTCTGGCATGGGAACAGTGGACTCAAATTGCTAACCCTCATGCAAAAAAAAAAAATCCCATAAAACTTATTCAAGAACTTCTTGCTCCATCCAGGAATGCATCTGACCCGTTATTGCGTAGTATTGTGCTTATTGTTTGATACTTGCAAACTCAAAGAAGGGGGAGAAGATGTTGTAATGACACGAAAGGAAACTAATGAAAATTAAGTAGGTGCATTTAAAGAGAATTAGTTAAACTGTGTTTAACCTAAGTGTGAACGATCATTCAGAATTAGTGAAGTATTCATTTGCTATGATTTACTTTGAAAGTGGATTAAGGTAAATTGAATTAAGGCCTCTTTAATTCTAAATAGAAACATCTACATAGGAATGCAATTTAACTAATCTGTTCTGAGAGTTAATTTGAATAATATATCCAGGCCTGCAAAAGCAATGTGGGGCAGGGTCTCAGTTTGAAGGATCAGATTTGCTTATAGCTTGGGCACTGGTAAGTGCTGAAGGATCGTTAGAAAGAGTTCCCCTTCCCAAGCCATGCAGGGCACTCAGGCATCATGGAGTATTTACAAGCAGCTCTGCCTGGGCACTGCAGCTTCTGGCACAGCTTTCAGAGCCGTGGCTCAGTGGCCCTTCCCTTGGTAAGGACTAACAAGTGGCTGTTAGTTCATGGGACTATCACTTAAAATCTCAGGTGGAACTTCAGAAAAGAGGCTTTCTAGAATTATTCAAAAAAATCAGCAATTTTTTAACGATCAAATTGCAAAGAGGTTTTAATTAACCCTTTCTGCTTCCAGATCACAGTGTAAATGCTTGCTTTTTTTGGCCAAAATTTCCTGTGCATTCCAACCCAAGAAGGAGCATGCAGGTGTAGTGTCTATACTGCTGCAGATTGATATATTCCTCTGTTCCAGCCTCCCCACCCCCCAAAGACTACACTTGTCTTAATTTCCTCTCAATTACACTCAGGCATTAACTAATACTGACTAACTACAGCCCAAAATAATTATTGCTATCTGTTCCCTTTGTAAATATAACTTCAGCACTGAGCTAGAAGAATAATGGCATATTTACAGAAGGCAGCTAATTAAATTGAGCTTCAATTGCTTTCAGTTTGCCAGAAGGAGCCATTTTCACAGCAAAAAATGTGTGCAAGCCTGCATGCTTACCAGGAACAACTTGGTATAACATAATTCAGAGTTCCCAAGACAAAAATTCAGTTCAAGACAAATTTACACTGGCAATAAAAATCTCATTAAGGAAGATATGAAGATCTCTCTACTACACCACGACAGTTAAAAGAGGTTATCATTTTTTTCAGTTTATTTAAGGAACAGTATATATTTCATTGTTCCAGAGCAGCTGTAATTGCAAGTGTCTTTCAAATGCTGCTTGCAGTAATGCATTTGTCTTATGTCTGTAACTTCAGAACCAGCCTCTTGATGTGTCTTCATTAGGAAGATCTCCAGCAGAAGAAGCTGGAGTTTCCAAGCTCTTCAGTGTTCAGTTTTTCCTAATTTTTCCACCCTTAGCTCCTGCACTTTGGAAATTCTCTCTTGCCCCCACGATTCAATCAACTGCAAGGATTTCCTGTGATCACAATTTGTCTCCAAATGTTTGCACCCTCTTTTGTTCCTTTGAGATGAAACCGTTCACGATAATTACAGAACAGCAGTCCTTGACAGATCAAAGTTTGAAGGAACCGTTCTTGTCAGAGCCCGTTACCAGTCCCCAGGGCCTTTTCTGTTTTGGGAAAAAACAAACAAACAAACCAAAAATAAGAAGATTGTTTCAGATTTTTTTTCTCTTTATAATGAAGAATTGTGTGTTTCTTGTCCCACTGTTCAAACAAAGCCTAGTGCAGAGATTATTTACAGTTTTCTTCATT